TGTATATATTACTATGGAGGTATGAGCGAAATCAATCATTTTAACAGTCCCATTTCTTGGTTCAATACTCTGTGCATCAAATACAAATAGTAGACTACCAGACCAGAACCGAAAACCATTAAGAGATTGTAGTATCTGATTATTATTATAATTAGTAGTAGTAATGATAATGATGATGATGATGCTTACAGTAAGAAGCCTCTCTAACTTATCAACAAGCCTTTTAATAAGTATCTTCTTATATGGTTCTTGAATTGAATCAAAAAAGGTATTAATAGTCTGGAATACTCCTTGTTCAGATTGTTTCCTTCCATAATATTTATTATAATATACCCTTTCACCACTAATCCTATCATATAATTGTACACCACACATACGAAATGCTAAACTATGGCTTGTTGTCTGTCGTGATTTCTTCAATTTACTCTCCATCTTAGCTTTAGATAAACCATATCTTACTGCACGTTGTTTAGCACCCATCTTCAGATCAAGTATACATGGTGTAGCCATACCATGGGCTAGGTCCTCCAATACAACCTAATAACAACAAGAACAATAGCAATATCATCATCATCAACAACAGCAAGTAACGCAGAGATCATTCTTCTTCTTGTTTACCATGACTGTGATGATTATGATAATATTACATATTTCCGCTCTTCCTTGACTTTTACTATACCATACCGTATAGGTGTTGTTGTTGTTGTGGTTGTTGCCCCTATCCTCCTCCTCCTTCTCCTTCTACCACTACTACTTTCCCCTTTCCCTCCTCCTTTATCATCCTTCTCCCCTAGTGCATCACCGTCATCATCATCATCTATATCAGGTATACCACCCTTCTTAGAAGTAGTATTAGTCTGAGTATCATCTCCCTCAACAACATCGTCATTATCCACATCCTCCTCCCCATCCTCTATACTCCTCTTATTATTAGAATATGTCCTATGATGACATGATGATGACCTCGTCGTTGTCGTCGTCCCCTCTGCCCCAACTGCTGTATTCCTATGATGTATAGCAACTACTGCTGCAGCTGCTGCTGCCTCTTCCCTTTTCCGTCTAGCCTTCTCCCTCTCTCTATCTATCTGTTCATGTAGTCTATGTTGACCATCATCACCATCATCATCATCATCATCATCTTCCTCTTTATATCTTCTAATCATCCTCTCCTCCTCTGCCCCTTTCTGTGCCTCTATAGATACCTTAGGTTGTGTAGCACCCAATGGTGGTATTGGCCTATTACTCATACTACTATCACTACCAACAACAGTTGTCATCATATTATTATCATACATACTTGGACATGATGACCTCCTATGATGATGTTGTTGTTGATCATGTTGATTACCAGTAGTAGCAGTACTAGCATATACTGCTATACTGCTATTCTCTTCATCATCCACTTCCTCACTAGGAGATAATGGAGACTTTATACTCAGATGATCCTCATCCTCTTCTTCTTCTTCTGATATTGTATTATGCTCATCTTCATCATTATCATCATTATCTTCATGCTCGTTATCATCAGCAACTAACCCTTTGGTGGTAGTAGGGTTTATATTATTATTATTATTACTGCTACCACTCAGGTTAACCTGATAAAAGATAGAGGATATAGTCCTATACTATCGATGATTGTTCTTTTTCTTGTTGTTGTTATTATTACTATTACCTCACCATAACATCTAGGTGTAAATCTAAGAAGCTTAGGGCATCTCTCCGGTATTATACTAGAATAGAAGTGATATTCATCAGGATTACATGGTTTTAATACCTAACAACAACATCAAGATGATGATCAACAAGAGTATAATGATCATCATCTTAGTGTAGTATTATTACCAAGAATGGTGAATTCTGTGGTTTTACAAACCTAGTATGCCCCCCAACCTGTAACCCATATACACTAAGCTCTTGTCCAACTAGAGATGCTGCCGCTGCTCCTGCTGTATTAGTAGTAGTAGTACCACAACCATCTTCACCATCAGGTACTACTGCACTCGGAGATTGAGTCATCTTACCACCATCGATAGTAGTAGTAGTAGTGTTGTTGGTATGCTGATTATTATGATGATGAACACAATGAGTATGTGATATAGTAGTAGTAGGTGTCCCATTAGATGGTGGTGGAGGTATGATACTAACCTATAGTTATCATACTAACTACTCTATAACAACCGTCCTCTACTACTACTACTACCTCGTCATGGTGGTGATGGTGGTGCTCTTCCTCTCTCTCATACTCCTCCGGATGATGCATGGTATGATCATCATCATTATGACCACCATCTCCTCCTTCCTCCTCTTCCTCTTCACTAGCCTCCCTATCAGCCTCTAATACAGCCTTAGTTGCTGCAGGACTCAATGATAAAGGTGTTATCTCCACCATAACCTCCTTCTTACTCTTCTTCTTATTGTCGTCGTTGTCGTCGTTGTCGTCGTTGATGATGATATGTTCTTTATTATCATAATCATCATGTTCAGCATTGAGTGGTTGTTGCAATGATGTAGTTGTGATACCCCGTGATATGGACTTCTTATCCTCCTCATCCTTAGCCTCTGCTGCTGCTGTTACTAGTACCTCCTCCTCTTCTTCTTCTTGCCCTGTCTTTATGGGACCAATAGGAACCAAAGTCAATAACTTGGTTATAGGTGACGATGGTGATGAAGATGATGATGATGGAGCAAAAGTAGAGGATACTGGTATTGAAGGTTGAGGAGTAGAAGAAGAAGAACTTACCGCCGCCGTCGCCGCCGACCCTACCACTCTTTGTTGGGTAGTAGTATTACTACTGCTAATAGGAGTAGGAGTTGATGATGATGATGACCTCTTGCTTGCAGTAGTAGTTGTAGTAATACCATTATCCTCATTACTAGGTATACATGATGATACTATCATAGAGGTCTGTTCACGGTGGTGGTGGTCTATCATTGGTGTTGATACTACTGCTCTTCTACTAGTACTAGTAGTAGTAGCATTAACATGATCATGTTGATGCATGATGGAGGCTACAGTAGTAGTATGAGCCCTCATCCTCCTAATGCCCTCTTCCTCTATAGGCTGATGATGATGATGTTTGTTGATCCCTCCATCATGTTGTTGTTGAGTTGTAGTAGTAGTAGACTCCTCTTCCTCCTCCTTCTCCTCTTGATGATGATGTCGGTGTTGTTGTGATGATGAAGAGGTGGTTGATAATAAGTTCTCTAATGATGATGCAGAACTCCATTGTACAGGCATAAGATGTCCACCTAATTGTTCAGCTACAGTAGTAGTTGTCTTAGTATGATGACATATAACTCCTTTAGCTAATAACCTCCTCCTGTAATATCTACATCGTCTACAATTACACTTCATCATCATCATACCAGCTGCTGCTGCTGTTGTTCCTGGTTGTTGTTGTTGTTGTTGTCGCCTTCTTGTCCCGACCACGCCCTCATCACTAGGGAATATATCCCTGAGTTCTACTTGATTATTATCATTAGATGAAGAGGAGGAGGAGGGATGATGTTGAGCATTATCATGGTGATCATGATGATGTAATAGCATCTGCTGCTGCTGCTGTTGTTGTTGATGGTTTAGACACTCTTCATCATAATCATCATAATCTTCATCATCATCTTCCTCAGATAATAGATCATCAATAGAATAGGAATCCGAGTCTAGATCATCATCATCATAATAGTAGTATTCATCATCATCATACCCTACATGACTGCTGCTGCTGCTGCCCCCACCATTACCATCATGCTGTTGTTGTTGTCGTCGT